GAATCACAGTCAAAATGTGAATGCCATCTCGATTCGAATGACGTTGTCATCCTCTCGACTCTCATGCTCGCCATCTCACAAACCTGTAGGCGTCAGCGTCATACTCACAAGCGACAGCGACAGCAACCTGCTCACAATTGAAATCACTCTCGCAATACCCTGCCCCCGTCCAGCCAACACCCTCGCCTCGAGTCGCTTCACGCGTGCATACAGGCAGGCCGCCTCCTCGCCAGAACTGCGCAAGCTGGCCCACAATGAGAACGTTCACAGCGCGGTATGCTCACGCATACTTGACGCTCTTGTGTCTGGCTGCAGGCATCAGTGCGCTCCACCTAGCATCTCGTGAGAAGGACAGCAAAAGCGCTCTGCCCGCTTTACCATTTGCCGCGCCCCGTCGTAATCAGGCATTCTTCAGACCCGACTTTTGGCGCTCTTCAGCTTCCCAAGCTCTGGCTCCTCCCAGCGAATACTCGGCGAACACGGATAGAGTTGCTTCGAACAACGTTAATGGCAAAGTCTTGGCCCCAGATGCGCTCGCATACCCTGGCTGGTCTAGACCGACGAAATCGGAGCTGGACCGAGCCGACAAGGTTCGAGCTGCGTCCATGTCGGATGGTGCAAGGGAGGGTGACGGGGATGATGCTGATTCCAGCTCCAAGACAGGCTGGGTGTATGTGAGTGGTGCATGGGGTCAGTCCACACGAGCAAGCGTCCCCCCTCAAGTACCACCTTGCCTTGGCACCACGCAGGTGATTCGTCATGGCGAGAAGCCCGGGGGAAAGAAGCATCATGGTCTCTCACCAGCAGGCAAACGTCGCGCGCAATGCCTCAAGCGAGTGTTTGGATCGGGAGACCTCAAGGCGCAATACGCTATGGCTCCGGCATACAAGCGTTCCGGAGCTCGTCGTCGTGCTTATGATACCGTGAGTTGTCCCAGCCTATCCATTCTGGCAAAGGCGTGACCTGATCGCTTAGCATTGCCACTCGCATGGCTTGACGCGACGCGACGCAACGCAGCTCAAGCCCTTGTCAAGGTACACTGGCATACCGCTCGACACGTCTTGTCAGCGCGACGATTCTTCCTGCGTTCACAAAGTGTTGGAGCGCGAGACTTCAAAGGGGAACAATGTGGTGGTAGCATGGCAGCACACTGCCATCTCTTCCCTAGTACGCGGGCTTGGCGTTAAAGGCTTGGTGTGGGACAAGAAGCGCTACGACATGATCATTCACATCAAGAAGGGCAAGGTGCATCGTATCGATTCGGAAGAGTGCGAAGGGCTGGACAAGCGTTGGCTGCATTGGCATGCCAAGAAGGGCAACGGCAAAGGAAAAGGCGGTCAGTATGGACGTATCGTCGATGACGAATCATGGGCAGAAGGTGCTGGCGAGGATGAGATGCCGCTCGCTGCTAAGGGCGCTTCTTTCGCATCGAGCTTTGTAGCTTATGACGAGGACGATAACGCAGAGGAAGATATGGAAGAGGACGTCGATCTGGACGGCGTTTTTGGCCGACAATCTCTTGGCTCCGCCATGACCAGCTGGTTCGGCATGCGATAGTTTGGCCGCCTTGCAAGTGCTCATCGCAAGAGGCAGATCAGCAAACATCGTCACTCTTGCGTCGCGCAATTCTCTCCTCGTCCTTTGCCTCGTTGTTGTAACCCATTCCGCGTTCCAATCAAGCCGAACAATTCCTCTTCAAAGTCACCCTCGTTTGTACCACTCGCCCACATTCGCGTCACTTTTCACCTCTTGTCACTTTTCTCGTCATCATTCCCTAGTTACCCTCAGCTCTCGCCGCTGATCACTTCTCGCTCAGCCCCCCCCATTTCATTTCTACAATCAGTCATCAGAAACAGCACTTGTCCGTCGAAGAGATGCCTTTGCCCTAGACTCACTCGCCCGTCTACCAAACAATGGCCGCTGTGGCGAAGCGGCAATTCGATTTTTCACCAGAGCAGAGCCATGTCATACGTCTTTGCTCTATTCCGATGTGCCCAACGGCGCGGCGCAATGACATCTTGTACAGCGAGCACGAGTGCGCGCCCGCCCGCAAAGTTGGCGAGGCGTCGACGATCGCATTCGAAGATGAGGCGCTGAGCTTTCGCAATTACAGGTTGACAAGCGACTGAGCAGAGCAGCGCTTAATTGCGAATTTGACATGCAAGCCCCAACACACACAAAAAGACGAAAGAGCAGGGCGCTGTTCACCTCCTCTTCAAGCCCATGGGTGGTGCTCCGCGCATCGGAGGTCCAGGACCTCTTCTTCTGCCCAATTCGTCGGTGGAATACTTGGAGCTGCCTGCGGGAGCAGGAGGTGCATTTCCGCTCTCCAGAGCCTCTGCAGGAAGGGGAAAAGGGGCGCGTGCGCGCACACGAGCAAACAAAAAGAAAAGGGGTGGTGGTGGTCGATTAGAGACTAGGGGAGGTACAAGAACGGCTTGGACCCAAAATGCCACCCCAGAAAGGCGAGCGGAGCGCTTCTGTTTGCAAAACTGGGACTCACTTCGCATAGCTTCCCTTTGCTCTGATTTCCACGCTGTTCGGATGTCCATGCTCGCGCCCAGCAGCTTTGTGATGGAGAGAGAGAGAGCGAGGGAGCAGGCAAGAAGTGCAGATGTCGGGAAAAAAAAAAAAAAAAAAGAGAAAAGAAAAAAAGAAAGGTCAGAACGAAGCTCAGAGAAGAAGTGGGCTTATGAACCCCAAATAAGGGGCTAAGGAGCGTGATGACCCTCACCTCTTCCTCTTCCACACCATCCTCTATGCTTCTCAAAATCTTCTGCACCACGCTATGATGATTTCCATCCCTCTTATCATCCCTTACGCGATGCAAACGCCAAGCGGGAGGTCTTTGATTCCTAACATCATCCGGTTCCTCCTCCTCCTCCTCTTCTTTGCCTTCGACATTGCTACTTCCTCCAGCGGACCGCCGCCTGGCTTTTTCGGCGCGCCACGTCGATTCCGCTTCGGGCGGTAGAGGACCACCGTGCGGATCCCATCTAGCTTCCACGATCACATCGTCAAATTGCACTGCGCTAGATTTCATCCTGTCCGAAAGCCAAGAAGAAAAAAAGAAGACGAAGAAGAAGACAAGAGGGATGAGCGGCTTCCCCAAATGGACAAGGCTCGTCCAACAAGGCCAGCACAACGGACAAAAACGGAATGCGCTTGCGCGGGACTTCGCAACGAACAATTCCTATTCTTGACCCCCCCAAAAAAAAAAAAAAAAAAAAAAA